TCAAGGCCCTCATCAAGATCTTGTTCACTAAATACAATTGGATTATCAAGATAGCTTTTTCAGCTCTATTTTTTTATTCATTTATGATCTCATGCATATTTGATTGTCCTATGAGTGCATTTATAAGTCTTTACTAGATTAGAACACCCCACAATATGATTCTTCAAAGTCCAAAAATATCTGGGCCATGAAATTTATTATTTTGAAGCTTCATTTCCATCATATGCCTCATAAGGCTATGATAATAGTTAGGAAAAACAACTAATTTATGCGGATGCTCTTCTTGCGAGTGAATACAATGAGTTACAAATTAATGATAAAAGAGATCAAGCATTACTATAATAAGTACTATAATATATCCATTGATTTTCTCTCTTTTCCCATCTCTATCCATCTCTTTTGTTCTTTCTCATAACATCCAATCTGTGAGGTATGAATATGGACACAAGAGACAAATATATAGTGATATATATATGAGGACATAATATAACTATAAAAAGTAGAACACAATGCCATGAATATGATATTTTTTTAATAAATTATTAATATAAAATGTGCAATCAAAACACATAATGACTATTTTTCTATAAAAGTATTACAAGAGAAAAAAATCATTTGTATCACATAAAAAAGCTTAAGAACCAACCAAAAAAAAGTTTAATTACAAATATATTTCAATTTTTAATAAAGTGTAATTTTGTTCAAATCAAGTCTACGTAATTGTGAATGACCAACAGCTTTAGTAGTAATCATTATACATGACTGTCAATATTAAAATACCTCTTTACAAGTAGTTGAGACCATTCTCCTTTGCAATAATAAGCCTATAGGTGTACCTTTGGATGATTGGCCTCTACCATAGTAGCCACCTCTATCCTTGGAGAATTGGCTATCATAGCAAGCAACATACCTTGTCGCTCATGTAACCTCAAGGAGCCCGAAGTTAAACCACCAAACTCCTCTACAGTCTTTGATATTTCTTTCATGTTTCGCTCTATCCATGAAGGGTAATTTTATAGAAAAGCTTAATAGTTTTGTATCAGTTCTTTTGAGATGAGGATGACAAATTTTAAGTTAATAATTTGGTTAGTAAAAATTGTTCTATATTTTGAACGTCAAATGTGTTGAAGAAAATTCATAATATTAGGGATGAAGAAATTAGAACTCAATATCTCATGATAATAATGTAATAGCGTGTTGGATTTTTGCAGGCTGTGTATTTGGCCTTGAAATATCATGATAGGCATATTATTATAACTTAAGAGTTTATTCTAACAGTTAAGGGCATGGTTTTGAAGATCAAAATTGGTTGGCCAGTTTGATCGTGGATTAGCATATGGTCGGTTTGGTCCACTTTAAGAACCGTCCCCGAGTCAAATTAGAAAATAACAATGGTATGATGGTCGAATTGGTCTCGCTTTCTCATAACTAGCCAGTTCAATTGATAGCCCATTTAAACAAGTAAATAAATAAATTTAATATGTGTAGTATAAAATATTGAATTTAAAAAAATAATTTAAATTTAATATAATATGCTTTAAGGGAAAATTCTATAAGATGGTGGTGAGACCAGCAATGCTTTATGGTGCCGAATGTTGGCCATTAAAAAGAAGCATAATACTAAGTTAAGTGTTGTAGAGATGAGGATGCTTAGGTGGATGAGTGGTTTTACTCTTAGAGATAGGATACGAAATGAGCATATACATGAAAAGATTGGAATAGCTCCAGTGGAAGATAAGATTAGAGAGAGTCGTCTTAGATGATTTGGTCACATAAAATAGTGTCCTTTCGATGACCCGATTAGGAAAGTAGAGGTATTAGATTTGACTTATGTTAAGAAAGATAGAGGTAGACCTAAAAAGATTTGGTTAGAAAATATTAGAAATGATCTTTCTTTATTAGATTTAAACGAGAATTTGACTTTTAATAGGATACAATGGAGAAAAAAGATTCATGTAACCGACCCCACATAGTGGGACAAATGCTTGATGTTGTTGTTGTTGTAATATAATATGCATTAAATTCCTATATGTCATTTGTCAAGCGAGCACCAATTAATCATTTTTGAATAACCTCACTATCCCATGTTAGTTATATGCATGTATTGGAAACAAAAATGCTATATTAATAATACTAAGACAGTTTTCAAGTGACATGGAACTAAATAATTAAGTTAAAATTTTCAATTTCACAATACAATACATGCATTACATATTTTTAAATATATTTTTAACTGATTTTTAATAATGTGAATAATATTTATTTTCTTAGTTAATAATATTTAATTTTTATCTATTTGATTTATTAATTTATTTAGTTATACGCTATAAAAGTAACTTTTTATCTATTTATTAATTCTAATTGATTTTTAATTTATAGTATGTTATTATTTCTATTTAATATGTAATTATACATTATAAAAAGTATTTTTTTAATCTATGATTAATTATATTTGATTTAATGTAAAATATCTCTGTAAATTTATAATGTGAATTTAGTATTTGATATATATGTGTAAATTATATTTAATCATATAATAAAATCTAGCAATGATTTATATTAAATTTAGAAGCTTATATATTTATTAATTATGAACTATAGTTAAAGATTGAAGGTATGTAAATTTAAAGCTACTGAAGGTATTATATGTGCATGAGTTTTGTTTATTTTTAGTCACAAGTTTATATTATTGCATCATTATTATAACATTTAAATGTTATTTAATAATTTTAATATTTATTACGTCATTCAATCCAGCCATTGAACCTTGAAACTCAGTTTTCTATTCTACGTTTGGTTCGGTTTTGACAACCATAGTTAAGGAAAACTTTCCACTTTATTTGACATTTCAATATTTTGGTGTTGATTGCTTACGGTTCTGGGTATGTTCCATCTTATGCTCCTAATAGAGAATTTATACCATTTTGAAACAATTTTGTGTACTTGATACAATGTCTTACTTTTTCCTTTAATTTTACATAAATTTTGCTAGGTTCTTGAAAAAATATTTTGCGTCAATATATGATGTAGAAAATTGTGATGATTAACAAAGACGGTCCTTTCACAAGGTCACTAGTTAGAGCCCAACAAGTTCAAGGAGCAAATACATGAAGCCTAGGAGTTAGAAATATCATTAAAAGATTTAAATTTGAATTTCAAATTTTAAATTTTAAGTTTGAATTTTGTTAGGCCCAAATGTACTTTGTTTTGAGGAGTTTAAATCCTGGTAGTTTTTCAAAAGTTATGGTACTAGCATCTTTAAGTTTTCTCTTATCAAAATAAGTATTTTTAACGTGTGGCTTGTCCTTCCATTCGATACTTTGATTTTTAGACACTTTATTTGTAATGATTGATTCCACATTTAGGAAAGTAGGCTGTGAACGCACCTGCAATTGATAAGATTTATGTCATAAAAGAGTGTTAGTATCTAAATTTTGAGATTGGTCAACTCATTTTTATGATAAAATATCCTCAATATTTAAAATTAATTAATTAACATAAGCAGGCAAATCTAGATAGCATGCATTAGTTTCAAATTTCTTGATAATTTTAAATGAGCCACAAGCTTTAGCTTGTAATTTTTTTTGTATTTTTTGGTGGTATATCTTTCAAGTTGACTGTGAGCCAACATGTATGCAACCCTCTTTATATTCTTTGATAGAACAATTGTGATTTATTATATCATCATACTTAGCATTATTCTTCTCTGTTTGCTCCCTCACATTAGCATAACTGTTTTGAAAATCTTTTGCAAATGAGAATGCCTTATTAGAAAATGCTGTGAGATGGAATGCTACTTCAATTAGCCTCTCAAGATGGTGACTATACACTATCTCTAAGGGGGTTCTCTTAGTGATATTGAAACGTTTTATTATAGGTAAATTCATAAGTTGGTAAGTGTAAATCTCAGTTTTCTAAGCTCGTTTTTATCAAAAATATATGTTCTCAAGAGTCCTATGTACCTCACAAGTCTGCTCTGCAGTTTGAGGGTAGAAAACATGATAGAATTTTAATCTTATCCCAAGTAGTAGTCATAAGCTCATCCAAAAATATGGAAAAATCTGGCATATCTATTAGAGACTTTGATGGAAGGTTGGCCATGCAATTTAATAATTTCCCAAAAGTACAATCTTGTCATCTGGGATGCATCATTAGTTTTTGAACTAGGAAGGAAATTGGTCATTTTTTTGAAAACCTATCAGCTACAACAAATATTATATTATCATGGCCTCTAGTAGTTCTTGGTAGACCTAACACCAAAGTTCTAGACAAGTCCCCCCAAGGCTTTGTAAGATATTGCTTGTGCAAGATATCTACCAAATTTTTATTTAGTGCTCTTAGATTGTTTGCAAGAAGTAGAGCCATTCCTCATCAGTGAGGCCCAATAAAACTATTCTCCATCAAGCCTATAGTTTTATAGTTTCCAAAATGACTTGCTATTGCCCTAGAATATAGCTCAGAAATGAGGAATTCCCTTAAGGGATGACTTTAGTAATACATAATTGTTCCCCCTTAAGTAACCATCAATAACCGTGAAATTATTCTACAGAGGAGACAAATGTTTGTCTATGTGCTTAAGATAGATAACATTGGAAATTAGGACATTGTTGACAGTATCTTAAATTTCATATATCCAGGGAATTGAAGTTCTAAGTAAGGTACATTTAAAGTCACTCTTGATAAGACTTCAACCAACTTGTTTTCTATCCAAAATTTATATCCCTTCCCTCCCTCAACTATGAAGATCTTAATGCAAGGGTTGCAATTTTTTCTCTGCCATGAAGCTTATTATAGTATGCTGTGTTTTTTTCTTCTACTACTATTTATTTTATGTTGATGAGTTTAAGGCTTCGTTTGGGACGGCTTTCTTACTGCTTCTTAAAGCGGCTTTCTAGTACAAAAACTAGAAAGCCGCTTTAAGAAGCAGTAAGAACGCCGTCCCAAACGAAGCTAAGTTTTTGTTCCAAAAACTCAAGGCGTGATTTATGTTTTCTTTTCAGAAAGTGCGTACCTTTCAGGATCTGCGAGACATGGGTATTCAGGAACGTCACGAGCTACTTATTCAAGCTGCTGGATTTTCAGATGCAGAGGCACATGATACTGAGATTGTGCTTGAAATGATGCCATCCATTACTCTGGAAGTCACTTGTGAGACAGAGGGAGAAGAGGGGATTCAGGAAGGTGACCTTGTAACAATGTATGCTTGGATCAATCTCAGTAGGAGAAATGGTCTAATTGGAGCCCTTCCTCATTCTCCTTATTATCCTTTCCATAAGGAAGAGAATTTTTGGCTTCTGCTTGCCGACCCAGTGTCAAACGAAGTTTGGGTTTCTCAGAAGGTGAACTTTATGGATGAGGCTGCAGCCATTACAGCAGCCTCTAAGGCAATTCAAGAAACGAAGGAAGCATTGGGTGCAAGTGTCAGAGATGTGAGTTCTGCTGTGATAAAAGCTATTGAGAAGGTGAAGAGTGGATCAAGGCTAGTGATGGGTAAATTCCAGGCCCCGGCCGAAGGGACCTATAATCTATCCTCTTACTGCTTATGTGATGCATGGATTGGATGTGACACAAAGGCAAACTTGAAGATCAAGGTCCTAAAACGAAGTCGGACGGGGACTAGAGGCCATGCGGTCGAAGAAGGATCAGTGGTTGAGGACGGCATCGAGGAGGATGAAGCAGAGGAGGAAGAGGGTTATGATGATTATGAGAGCGAGTACAGCGATGATGAGGATGATGAGAAGGAGCAAAATAACAAAGCTGTAAATGGTGTCTTGAATGAGAAAGGCCATACTACTAGTGAATCTTCAGGTTCTGATGAAGAATAACTTCTTTTTTTTTTTAATAATTTCATTATGTAGTTCTGAGTTTTCCACATTTTAAAGTAAAAAAACTGGTGAAGATTTACCTTTCACACTAATCAGGGAACAAAAAAAAAAAGGATCAACCATTGTATGGTGCGATGATAGAAGGTTTGTATGCTGATTTGATGAGCATCATATGCCGAATCTGTTCCCACTTTTGAGTATAAACTGCAGTTATATAAATTGTTGAACTATTGGTTGCGGCAGATTTCATTCTTCGTTTTCTCTATACTGTGGGCTTGATGTTAAAGTAGCTCAATAGCTGCATGATGAGCTTCTTAGTAATATTTTGTGCAAATTATTCTGCAAGAGTTTAGTTCTGTGTTCATCACTACTAGTATGGTTTGGTTTGATTTTATTTTTATTTATTATGAGCAATCATACGGTGTAATTTTAGTAGCAATAGATTTAGGGAGGGGATTGTGACTTTGGGCGGTCAAATCATTAATAAGAGTACATATTTTAGATATCTTGGATCTATTGTTCAGAGTGATGGTGAAATAGATGGAGATATTATCAGCATAATTAAAGTTGGATAGTTGAAGTGGATGAATGCATCGGGCTTGTTGTGTGATAGAAAAGTCCCCCTCAAACTTAAGTGAAAATTCTATGAGATGGTGGTGATACCTGCAATACTTTATGGTGCCGAAGGTTGGCCATTAAAAGAGAAGCATAATACTAAGTTAAGTGTTGCAGAGATGAGGATGCTTAGGTGTCTGAGTGGCTTTACCCTTAGAGATAGGATACAAAAAGATCATATACGTGGAAAGGTTAGAGTAGCTTCAGTGGAAGATATGATTAGAGATGGTCGCCTTAGATGATTTGGTCACATTAAATGGAGGCCTTCTGATGATTCTGTTAGGAAAGTTGAGGTATTATATTTGATTTATGTTAAAAAAGGTGGAGGTAGACCTAAAAAGACTTAGATTTCTTTATTAGATTTAAATGAGAATTTGACTTTTAACCGGATACGATGGCGAAAAAGGATTCATGTAGCCGACCCCACATAGTAGGACAAAGGCTTGTTGTTGTTGTTGTATGAGCAATCTCTTTTTTAACATATGTTTAATTGTATAGATTATTTGTCGATGCTAGTGGCCTTACTGACACAACCACAGGAACTGCTGGAAGCCCTTGAAACGTGCAGTTTTGATTTTTTTTTGGGACATTTAGGCAATTTAAGGCAAATTCACACACACAACGCATACACAAAGACACGAACCTTGGACCTCTTAGTTGGAAGCCTAAGCTCTCAACCAACAGGCTATGGTGAGCTGTGTAGTTTTGATAGTTTTACCTGAAACCAAGAATTGCAATATTGTCTAAAGCTGAAACAAACGTTACTGCAGCAAGCATTTACTCATATGCTAATGAAGTTAGTAACTTTTACAGGGATTTATCCTCCTTTATAGGATTATATGAATTTGAGTTGGTACCATTTAAATACAAATTTAATATATAATGAAAATAATATATTTATCATCAAAATTCTTGGAAGAATATGCTCTTTTTAAAAGGTTTTTAAAGATGAACTCACTTCTACTGTATTTGTAAGAGAAAGAATTCAATACATCTGTGTCCTTGTATTGAACACTTACTGGTTAGCAATTTAAGCTCTTAATCAGTTGGCTAAGGTGGCTTAACATTGAGTATGTTTGCCTGAGATCTATCCTCTTTTTGAGCTAATATCCCAATGTTAAACCCCCTGTTCTCTTTAGATCTTATGCATTAGAGATTTATTTGGGATAGTTTTTTTCATTGTTTTATTTTTCAAATAACAATTATAATTTGGTTTTATTATTATTTTTTGTTATTTTATTCATTATTTTTTTCAAAATTTTATGTGATGGAAAGCTATTTTCGACTATTAGTAGCTACTTTCACATAACAATCATCTCAAACATATCCCAAATTATTTTAATTATTATATATTGTGTCAAATATGAAATAGCATAATTTTTTTTAGGAGTTAAAAAAATTGTCCATATTTAATTTAATTTTGTCAAGTCAAATTAGCCATGTAATAATATTATTATTAATAATAACTAAATAAATCACCACCACCACAACAACAAAAACATCAAACTTCCATCCCACAATGAGGGGTTAGCTATATGACTTATTTCTCTCTATACTTCTCGATCAAATCCTCAATAAATGTATAGCTTCCATAGTAGACCTATCCGGCATGAATCCAAATTGCTTTTGAGAAATATTAGTATCACGTTGTAACCTATGCTCAATCACTCTCTTCCATAGTTTTAATGTATGAAACATTAACTTAATTACTCTATAATTCACACTCTTGTGTATTACCTTTATTATTAAAAGTAAGAATCAACACACTCCATCACTCATATGACATCTTTTTAATCTTCAAAATACTATTAAAAATTACTTCATCTCATAAGCATTTTCATACCTTTATTGAAATATAATAAGGTCTAATTGTTTTTCTACACTTCATTTTTTTTAATGTCTCCCTAACATTGATTTTACTAATATAATGATAAAACTAAAAATATATATATATTTATTTAGAGTGTTATGATTACTAAAGTCAATCATATTCTCACATGTTAATTGAAAAAGCTTATTGAAATATCTCATCTACCTATGTTGAATAATCTTTTATAATAAAAATACTTTTTGATCTTTATATTTAGTATACTTCATTTGAACTAGATCTTTACTTCTTATATCTCGTTGCATGTCTAACTTATGCATACATCTTTTCCCCTCCTTAATATCTAATCTATTATATAAATAATTAAAGTTAAATTTTTTGTATCACATATTACTTTCTAAAGCTCAATATGTGCCTCTTTATTTCTTTTCCAATTTTAGAAGCCTTTTTATCTTAACCAATTTTATAATAAAGCTTTTTTATTTGGTCTTTTCCTACACATTTTAATTCTACCACCAAGTATTTTTATTATGAATTTTTTTGTACTCCAAGAACATACTTTATAATTCTTAATATAACAAGCCTTTTTTTCTTTCACATAACATTAGTTTCCTCATGAACAATTAAAATTTTTAGAACTCGGTTTGTTACTCTAAAACATATTTTTGTTGGCATTCTTTAAATGCTCATGTCTAATCATAGAATAATATTTTACTTTATTTTTCACATTTTTTCCATTCATCTTAAAGTTCAAAACTAATAAGTGATGTTGAATACATAAATTTTTTCTCGAAATGACTTTATTATTTTTGCATTCTAAATGATCTATTTTTCTTATAAGAAAATAATCAATAAGAGTTTTACTGTATCAATTCTTATAAATGATGCGATGCTCATCTTATTTCTTAAATAAAATATTAACAATTACAAAATTATAAACTAGAGCATAATCTAATATGATCCTACTATATTAATTAGTTGCTCCAAATTCATAGACGCAATAAATATTTTTTAAATCTTCTATTACTCTACCAATATATCCATTAAAATATGCTCCAATAAATTTTTTTTTCCTCAATAAGTAACTTTTGTATTAATTTTTCTAAGTCATTTCAAAATTTTAATTTTGAACACATATATAAAGATACTTACAGAACATAATAACTTATAATATTAATATTTTTAACAGAAAAAAAAAAATTTAAAGCTATAATTCAATCTCAAATTATATTAATTTCTACAATATGTTCTTCAAACTCTTATCTATAGTCATACATACACCATTTCAAGTACGACTTCTGCATGAATGTCATAATTTAAGCCATAAACTAACAATTTACTAAGTCTTCTCTCTAACACAGTATGTTTCTTGAATATACATAATACTTATCTTTCTATGAACAATAATATCTATTAATTTCATTAATTTATTTTTAAGAAAATGCATATTCCAAGTTCCTATCCTAATTCTACTTTCATGAGCTAGCTTCTTTGCATATATCCATCCACAATGTGGCTACTCATTCTTATTTAATGTTGCACATGGGCGCCGGTGTAGCGGCCTTACATAATTCTCGCTATATTCAAGCCATATAACGCGTCGCTTTTATGGAATGTCCATCATTAACACAATGTATTAAAATATTCATATAATGATTATTTGATAAATTTTTTGTTGAATGTTGACTACCTAATATAACCCTCCTCTTTTATCATATAGGGCTTTAGATATGACAATAACAATGCTAATAAATTAACACCAACAGCTAAATTATTATTATTTGATGAAAGGCCCCTCAATTGCCTTTTTTTTTTAATTTTTATACAATTAATCTTTTTTTAAACAATTCTAATTATTTAATTAAATATTTTGAAAATTAAAAGTTATCACTTTTTATTTTCAAAACATATATATATATATATATATTTAAATCATAAAACTTTGATTATATGGCACATACAAAATCAACATTTGAATTTAAAAGTTCATATTTAGTTTTGTTGTAATAAAAAAAAAAAACAGTAACATACAAAATAACCTTACAAAAGAATAAAAAAATACTTAATTGCTTAAACTTGTCCGCTTCACCATTTACATCTACATTCAATGTTGCGGAAATGACTCTCCAAATTAACGAAAATCATAAAAAACTGCAACAAAAACAACTTTTTAATTGGGCCAATATAACAGAAATATAAGACAGTTTATTAAACTTTTTTAATAATAAAAAAGCTCAAAGTTTACAAACGAATTTGAAAAAAAAAATAAAAAGTCCTCTGAAAATGTCTTGCTATGTATATATCTACACCCCACCAACCAAATAGATTCATCAAATACCAGGGAAATTATTAGGTCCAGTTACCTTACAGAGAGATACATTCGGATTTCTCTCTGCCTACAGTAAAAACGCAGTCAAAGCGCAGCTGCTACAGTAACTACGTTTTAACTGTGCTTTGACTGCAGACAAAAACAAATCTGGATGTATCTCTGTATCAGGTGACCGGGCCTAATAATTTGCCCAAATACAGACAGTTCTCGGATGCTAAAGGCCACCTACCCATCACAATCAACATTTTAAAGTATTCTGGTCCTGATAGGCTTCAGCTTAACGCCCATACTCTCAGGAGAGAGCATCTCCGGAGAAATGCAGGAAGGGCTGAGAGGGCTGCGAGGGCTTGAATTTGGATTGCATGGCCTGTAAAGACCGTAACCCATGAAGAAATACTCCATGGGAATCAGCATTGCGTGTGGTTGCTCCTCTGTAACTACAGATCCGCACTCCTGGACCTGGCAGTAGAAACGACAAGTTCTTATGGGTAGTTTTGTGTTATTGAAATATTAGAGTTTATTATATATATAATGATTTATCTTAGATTGAGAATCGAAAAAGAAGTGAATTTTTTAACTTCTTGATTCATCTTAGATTTCGTTTAGGGCAACTTTCTTACTATTTTCTAAAGAAATTTTTTAGTACAAAATTTTTTTGCTAGAAAGCTACTTTAGAAAATAGAAAGAAAGTTGTCGAGACAGGATTTTTTTGGGACAGCTTCCTTACAGCTTCTTAAAGTATCTTTTTAGTACAAAAATTTTAGTAAGAAAGTCATCCCAAACGAAGCATTAATCTCGACTATTAATTTATTTAGATTACCAACTTAGCTGTTTGCTTTTTTACATATAATGGTAATAGAAGAAATGATGTCTGGTATCTTTGTTATCATTGAATAAGAAAATCTTAAATGTCATTTCAATCATATTTTGATTAGAACTGGATGTGTAGAACAAATTGAGACAACAAGATGCAAGATGTCATGATTGCTAAAAGCTAACAGAAACAGTTAAAAAATAATATAAATTTATAATTGATTACTCTATTATATTTTATTACACGTTACAAGTACTTTTTTTTTTAAAATTTTGGTGGTTTTTGTTCAATACCATTGCTTTTGAATTTTGATAGATTTTGTTCGAAACTGATATGAAGGTGTAAGAGTTTCGAACAATTATTACGTCCTTCGACCGAATGAGAGAAACATTCGGTTCGCAGGCAAAAATCCCGCGGTAAGTACCGAGGTGTACCGAGTTTTTTGAAAAACTCGGTACACCTCGGTACCGCGGGATTTTTGCCTGCGACCGAATGTTTCTCTCAGTCGACCGAACCAAATAAAACTTCAAGAGTTTCGCCTAAAACTCATCTTTTACCAAAAAAAAACCAATAGAACTTGAGTAGTTACTAATGCTCTATTAAAACTCTATCTCTAAATTCTCATTAATTTTCATATGTATTATAACTTATCAATCGATTAAATAATATTATTTGTTTCATACTTAAATATACTTAGGTAACATGTTATAATTAAAAAAAATCATGATGAAAACCAAAATTAAATCCCAAAACTGACGAAACTATCAAAACTAACAAAAACAAAAACTTTGTGGGAATTGCACTTTAAAAAACACAGCCATTTGACACAAAAGATTAAAAAAACACAAACTAAATCACCTTTTATCTTGGAGAACTTCTCTCTTCTTCTTTTCAAGTGAAGATTAGCAATCCAAAGGGTTAACATGCATTAGATTTTTTACTCAGTAAATGAAGATAGGTTAATACCCGAACTCAACAATAGAACATTCTAATTCAGAGGAATTAGGGTGGATTAACCAAAATAAATAAAAAACTATTTGACCAAAAAGAAAATTTACTAGATATGTAATATCGAGTTACCATCGAATAAAAAAAACATCTTCATACCTCAACAAGGACACTGTATCTTCTGTCAAGCTTGGAGATCATGTGGAGGGCATCAGAGTGGAAAGGAGAGCTATCACCGACAAATATCAATGTCCTGCACTGCAGGTTCTTCAAATCTTTAGTCAAGTCATGTCTCCTGTTAATAAGACCGAGCATTATTCAGCAAGAGCTGTATACAATCAGCTAAATTAGGGCATCTCCAACCGAAAATTCCATTTTTCACTAAAAAATGCAGTGAAACTAAAAAATGACGCGATTCATCTCCAATCGAACTTCATTTTACTCGGTAACGGTCTTTCTCCTCTTTCACACGTTTCTTCTGCAAATCCAGTAGAGACAGAAAAAATAGCGTAGGTGAACAGTCCAACGCCAATATTGGCGTCACACTGTTCACCCGCAACCAAATAGCGGAATTTTTTCCGTTCGGCTGGAGCTCGCGAGCGACGCCATTCATGCGTTTGGAGTTCGGTTGGAAAAGGCCTTAATTGACAAGAAAATTTACAGGACAGTACCCATTCATTGTCTCAAGAAATCGCCAGACATTTACAACTCGCCTTTCATCTAGCAGCTGAAAAGAGATCAACATTACAATCATTAAGCTTACCTCTAATCGCAGAAATATGAAATGAAAAAGAAAGAGTAATTGAATCGCTAACACTTCTGCAGGCTTGGACTATATCCGACTCAAGGAATTGTGTGCTGCCACGAACTTCCTGCCAGAAACAACAAGGTATATCACATGATCCTCTATAATGTTAAATCAGATTCCCAACTGAAAGCTATGTCACCTTACTAAAGTATCTCTGAAGTAAGAATTCTTTTGCTAGTCCACACATCCCATAGAAGTAGAGCAAATTAGACATCACCTGAGAATTTGGTTCATCAAAAAAAAATTTTTTTTCTTTCCACTGGAGGAGACTTAGAAATCTTCTCATTGAAGGATATATATATTCAAATGGTACCTTGGTGTAGAGCCATTGGGTCCAAGAAGGGGTTTTACATAATGGTGAGACAAGAATCAAACCAATAACGCGGTCTCGATATCTTGACTGCAATAAACTAGACTGAACTTAGATATGCAAAGCTACAGTTTAGTGCAATTAATATAACTAACAAAGAGACTTACAGCGAAAAGAGTAAGGATGTAAGCACCAGCAGTGACACCCATGCACATCACAGCTTTTAACCTGGATGAGAAATGAGAGATTTTCAATAAAGAAAAATGGTTCAGAAATTGATGCATCTTGTTCCCAGATTGCAATTTTCATTACCACATTGACTGGTTATAGAAAAACTATGATATTTAAATTAACAAATAAATAATCTCCATCTGTTACTGAATATTACCGAAAGAAATCGAGAACTTCTGCAACCTGATCTGCCAGGTCATCGACAGAAGGCAGTGGCACATCTGAAGAAATAGGACCAGCTCCCAACTGTAGGAACTCTTATGGTGAAGGAAAAATCATGTGAGCAGTTTTACATGTAAAATAAAAAAGAAAAGCAGATCATAGGAAGGATGCAAACCAAATCACTGACCTCATGTCCAGGAGGGCTGATATGATATATACAAAAATTATGAAGAAGCAAAGAAGCAGCTTCTGGGCAAAAAAATAATCCTTGAAAGCATGACATATCTGGTGAAAAAATACAAAAGGAGAAAAAATGCTCAAATTTTCCAGCCCTACTCATTTAATCATTATGCATGAATACAATTTCTAATTTTTTTTTTTGGAATATTTAGGCCAATTAAGGAAAAATCATATACAGACTCTAATTCAAAACCTCCTATATTAGTAGTCAAAGTTCCCAACCAACAGATCAAATGCACATGAAATAATTAGCAAAGGAGAAATTCGTTAACAACTATAATTTAATTCAGTTCAGTTCCATCATCATCAAAGGACGCACAATACGTTACGTAAACGGAAAGAGAGAATAAATAACCCTTTTACATTTAATCATCATAAACAATTCCTTATAAAACTGATAATTCTACTTGAAGAACAGAAAAAAGACAAGCCCAGGAGTTATTGAAAGAGAGGGGTGAGTTGAAATTAAACTTCCCAACTTACAGTTTAACGCTACATCAGGATAAGTTACAAGAGCAGGTTTTTCTTGATCACCAAACACAGCCACTGAAACAGAACCATAGCTTGTTTGTACAATGTGTTCCTGGTAGCGTCAATCAAACAAACAAATCAACAAATATACAAAAACTAAAAACCCTTATTTCTCCTATAAATCCACAAATAGAAGCTCGGAATCATTAAAATCCCATCTAATCATGACCAAAACATGCGAGGAAGACCAAATTTCACCAATCCTTCAAACCAAAGAAAGAATTTACATCTTTCGCAATCAGTCCGCGATTCTACTAGCAAATTGCAACGAAATGCGTTGCATTCTGCAGCACAAAACTCAACCAGTACACTAAACGCGCAGAATTTCAACAAAACCTCCGCTGAAAGAGCAGAACAGAAATAGATTGAGGTTTCAGGAGCTCAAACCTTGCCGCCGAACCAGATTCTTTCCACGTCAATGGAAACCGAGCTGCTCGATTCTCCCATCAGCCGTCAAACCACTAACAGTGAGCTCCTCCTCTCTCTCTCTCTCTCTCTCGCTCGCGCGCGCGCTGGCTCTCATTTGTCTTCTTCAGGGATTTTATACTCGGACGAGCTTATCTCCAGCCACCGACACCCTTGCAGTGTACATTTCTACAACACCGATTCTCACCCGACCCCACCTGCCAGCTGGCGGAGTTGTAGTAGAGCAGTGGTGGGGTCCACTAAGGAAGGTGACCGTAACGCGCCATTAATTGATCGGAGTTTAGCAGTGAAAGACGGAATAGAAATTACAAGCGCTAAACCCGCGCGCTATTGGGATTGAAAAAAATTAGCTCAAAATATTTTTTTTTATAAAATTTTCATTAAATAAAATTTAAATTTATTCGATATATTTTAAATAAATATACTTAAACTTTTGATTGTGTATTTGTATTTTATATTTATTTTAAAATAAATTTAATGAATTTAAGACTATAGTATTTTGATATATTCTTAGATTAAAAATAACTGATCAAAATTTAAAAAATTTTAAATATAAATAAATAAATATATTTAAGTATCTGATATTTAAACTTTTTTATTTATTTATATAATATTTTAGTGTCTAAATAATATCAAAGCTTATGTATAAAAAAATATACATTTAAATTTAGATAAATTAACTCCCCCTCCAAAAAAAAAAAAAGATAAATTAATGTTAATATTCTTACAGCATTTGTAGATTAGGATTTATTATAAGTAAAAAAAAAAAAATTAGAATTCGATATATAAACAAATGAGAATTCCATGATTTGTATGTTAATTCCCTTTTTGACACAAGAGTACCTGTTCATTTGATGCTTGTTACCTGTCGAGATAGGTTCTTGTGTAGCCTATTATATGACTTTTTTCCTTTATATATATTTTTTTTTCTTTATGTTTCAAAACAAGAACTATAAATACATATTGAAATGTAGGCGGGAGCAGGATTTTTGGATTTGAAAAATATTCTTACTCTGTTCTTGGAGTTTTTATGTATCATGTTTTCTATACATGTGGTGGTCTGAACTCAGGCAATGAGACAGTGATCTTCAGCTGGAGTTCATCGGAGAAGGTAAATTCATTTACCTTGTTCCTGAATTTACGAATTATCTCGTTTCAGATGCTCGGTCGGCGTCAAATTGGTATCAGAGCCGACGAAGATGCCACCTCGAAGAAACTCACAACGTCCGACAAGAGATGTAATCATTGAAGACTTGCAAAGAGAAATTCAACAGCTTCAACAGCGATTAGCACAGTTCGAACAGAGAGAACCAGATCAAGATGTCCAAGAAGACGAAGAAGAGGTGAACCCATTCCATCAAGATGCTCATAGCGAAGAGGAAGAAAGAAGAACTATACCTGGTCGTGTAAGACATCATCGAGACGATACTGGAGTAAAGATTGATCTACCTGAGTTTGATGGTAGGCTGGATCCAGATGAGTTTGTAAACTGGATGTATACTGTAGAAAGGATAATTGATTTTAAGGAAATTCCGCCAAAACGAATTGTCAAGCTCGTTGCCATTAAATTGAAGAAAAGTGCCTCCTTATGGTGGGAAAATTTGAAACAAAGTAGAAATCGTAAGGGGCGAAGCAAAATCACGACATGGGCCAAAATGAAGAAGGAACTTCAGCGTAAATATCTGCCATAGAGATATCGCCAAGAACTGTTCTTAAAATTCCATCACTTACAGCAACATCAACTAACAGTTGAAGAATATATCGTTGAGTTTGAGCAATTATCACTCCAATGTGATTTGTCCGAACCCGAGGAAAACACCATTGCTCGGTTCTTGGAAGGATTGCATACGTCAATTGCTAATGTAGTCCAATTGCAGCCGTATTGGACATTATAGGATGTTTTTAATCTATCCCTTAAGGTGGAAAAACAACAACGCCCAAACAAGTGGACTCGTGGTAGGACGATGGTTTCAGAAGATGGAATGGACCAGAACCAATTCAATAAACCAGATGAAAAATCTGTAGGAGTGGCATCTAGGAATAAAGAATTCAATAAACCTTCTAATGAACTACATAAACTACCTATAACTAATGGCTTGGCTCCAAGAAAGTTTTTTAGATGTCAAGGTTTTGGTCATATTGCCTCAGGTTGTCCAAATCGTAGAGTCATCACCCTCATGGAAGAAGTTGATCCTGAACAAGAATTGGTGTGTGGATCTGAATCAGAGGGTAATCCGCAATCACCAGTGGCCAAAACTACTGTCATTACAGCAGATGAGGGAAGTCTACTTGTTCTCCGCAGGCTACTCAGCTCACAGAATGAAGATATTAGCCAACGACATAGCATTTTTCAAAATAGATGCACTGTCAGCGGAAAGGTCTGTCAAATGATCATTGATAATGGGAGTTTTGAGAATGTTGTATCAACTACAATGGTGGAAAAACTTGCATTGCCCACAGAGGACCATCCCAAGCCATATGCACTATCTTGGATTCAAAAGGAAAACGAAGTCCAGGTAACAAAACGTTGTCTCATTAATTTTTCTATTGGAACCTTTGTGGAATAGGTATGGTTCGATGTAATACCTATGGATGCTTGCCATCTATTGTTAGGCTGCCTATGACAGTTTGAGAGAAAAACCGTGCACGACGGAGAAACAAATACTTATTCCTTCCAACATCAAAACAAGAAGATTATATTGGCTCTCATCCAGGGATCTCTGTCTACCAAACAGAGTCCTCAATTGCTGACGAGATCAGTATTTTTGAAGACTTTTAGGGAAGCTTGAACTAGATTCTTACTAGTCATAATGCTTGCCAATGAAACTAGTCACAGTTGCACAGCCACGGTACAAGATATCTTGGATAACTATAGAGACATTCTTACTAATGTTCTTCCTTCTAAATTACCACCTGAATGAAAAATCCAACATGCTATTGAGTTTGTGCTTGGAGCTGTTATTCCTAATCGCCCTACCTATAGCTTCAGCCGGACGAACAAGCTGAGCTCAAACGTCAAGTGCAAGAATTGTTAGACAAAGGATTTGTGTGGCATAGTGTTAGCCCATGTGTCGTTCCTGCTTTATTAGTTCCAAAAAAAGATGGAACTTATATAATGTGCATTGATAGAAAGTCGGTCAATAAAATTACTGTAAAATACATATTTCCTATCCCGCGTATTGACGACATGTTCGACCAACTTCAAGGAGCCACCATCTTCTCCAAACTCGATTTGCGCAGTGATACCATCAAATACGGATGAGGCCTGGTGATGAATGGAAAACTGCCTTTAAGACACATGAAGGATTATACGAATGGTTGGTTATGCCATTCGGCTTAACCAATGCGCCAAGCACTTTTATGCGTCTCATGAACCATATCCTACAGCCTTTTCTTTCTAAATTTGTGATAGCATATTTTGATGATATCCTCATCTACAACCATGATCTCCAGGAACATCGTCTCCATCTCCAACGTATACTTGAGCTTCTTCGGGAACATCAACTATTTGTGAACATAGATAAATGCCAACTTGCTGTCCCTCAGATTTCCTTTATAGGATATAAACTGTCAGGTGAAGGTTTGAAAGTAGATTTAACCAAGATTGAAGCAGTTCACATCTGGCCAGTGCTATAGTCTTTTACAGATGTTCAAAGATTCCATGGGCTAGCATCATTCTACCAAAGATTTATTCGAAATTTTAGTTCCATTGCTGCCCCGATGACTAAGCTTTTAAAAACCGATCACTTTGAGTGGAGCAAAGAAGCTCAAATAAGCTTTGACTTTGAAGATGCAATTATCATCGGCTCCCACACTGGTACTACCTGACTTCAACCAAGCCTTTGAAGTAGAATGTGATGCTTCAAATGTAGGCATTGGGTTGTGCTTACACAAGGTGGTCATCCAGTTGCGTATTTCAGTGAAACATTAAGTGATGCTCGACGAAAATACTCAACTTATGATAAAGAATTCTATGCTATCATTCGGGCTTTACAGCATTGGAATCACTACTTGCTTTCTAATGAATTTGTGCTTTTCTCAGATCACGAAGCCCTTCGCTTCCTGAGTCACCAGAAGAAATTGAAGGCAAGACATGCTTAGTGGTCAAAATTTTTATCAGCCTTCCATTATGTACTTAAACACAAAGCTGGACATAGTAATCAGGTGGCTGAAGCACTCAGTCAGCGACACCTTCTATTACAAACATTGCAAACTATGGTCATTGGGTTTGAAACCATCAAGGATCTCTATCCAGATGATCCAGATTTTCAGAACATCTGGCAACTATGTCAAAATGGACCCTTCAAGATTTTCCACATCAAGGAAGGATATCTTTTCTATAATCGGCAAATTTGCATACTCAATTGTTCCCTCTGATTAGATCTTATAACAGAAAGCCATGAAGGAGGATTGTCTGGGCATTTTGGAAGAGATAAGACTGTAAGTTTGCTGTCTGAATTTTTTTTTTGGCCTTCACTTAAGAAGAATGTGGGAAGATACATACAGAGTTATGTTACATGTAAGAGGGCCAAGACCACAAGTTCTAATGCTGGTCTTTATACACCACTGCCAGTACCCAGTTCACCTTGGTTTGATATCAGTTTAGATTTTGTTGTAGGTTTACCTCGCACCCAATGAAACAAAAATTCTATCATAGTGGTGGAGGATCGTTTTTCTAAAATGGCTCATTTCGTGCATTGTACTAAAACTTTGGATGCTACCCACACTACCGATTTGTTCTTTAAAGAGATCGTTCGTCTCCACGAGATACAAAAAATGATCACCTCTGATAGAGATGTCAAGTTCTTAAGCCACTTTTAGAAGACCCTTTGGGGAAAATTTGGCAGTCGTCTCCAATTTAGTTTGGCAGCCCACCCCCAAACAGATGGTCAAACAGAGACTGTCAATCGTAGTTTAGTTAACCTTTTACGTTGTTTTGTTGGCAAGAACATTCAACAATGGGATCTCATTTTAGCCCAGGTAGAGTTTTCCTTCAATCGATCCGTTAATTAAGCTACCAAACGAAGTCCTTTTGAAGTGGCATATGGATATAATCCCATCACTCCTCTTGATCTCATTCCCATTGTACCGAACACTGCTTTTAGTGCTGACGGGGAGCAACGT